ATTGAACTCAGGAATATAAATAGAGAAGAAAAGATCTAGTCTTTATGTACATGTTTTAAAAGGTGTAGCTTATTATCCGAGAAACATATAGGTGGACTAAATCTCTATTAGAGTTACCTGTGCAAGACCAGGTTGCAGAGCACACTGTATCATCAACCGTCCAATCACATCATGTGCTACAACTGTTTCAATGAGTTCTCCTCCAACAAGCTTCACCAGAGGCTCATTGTCAAGGTCACTCATCTCTACGACAACATGACCCCTCAAGCCCTCTTTCACCCCTGTAAGGCTGAGCACAACCCTCAAAGCACGTGCATCACTCTGGAAACATATTACAGCCAATGTAACTAAAGTCTGACGTGCATGTAAACATTTGAGAACCGTAAGAGGAGATCTGATATAGGAAATAACCTGATCTGCGTTTTCATCAGATGCCAATACAATGATAGCACGTGCTTTTGAAACTGAGACCTGCATATGAAAAAATATAACTTAATCTGAAGATTCTGAACTGCAACCATATGAGAGAGAGAGATAGGAAATTAATATTGAACCTTCCAATGAAACAAAAGCTAAATCAGTAGTAGTAGTAGGGTAAAAGAGAAAAGTGTCAAAGATACCTTCTTCAGGTCGGCCAGTATAAGAGGGCTGCCACTTCTGCATATAACCGAAGTCCCCATGAAGTCAAATTCAAGCTTTGCTATATCCAGCTCCATTTCCTCCTTGTCTCTTTCAGCAAGTACAACGACAACTCCACCACCAACACTCTTGTTTGCTATTGCTAGCTGCTTTAGAAGTGAACCCTGCAGCATAAAATACATCAACTTTGATTTCCCCTTCTTTCTTTGCTGTTTGACTCCTTAACTACAAAACTCCTACTGATGACCTCTTTTATAAGATCAAATGAGCTTAATTTCATACACGATAAGGATGGGGAGGTTCAAGGGCCTTCAAAGATCACATTTCAATTGTAAGAAAAACATGTACTTACAAAGAAGCTATCTGTTAAGTCAGTTAAAATGAAGTCCCTATTGACAACTATAATTACCCATACAGTAGTCTGTACTAACTACCAAAAGTACAAATCTAAAAACATATTAAAGCAGCAAGATGGAGAAGACACTTGAAGACTACCAACTATAGTCATGCAAACTGCTAAGTTCCTTTTTCCTTTTGGTCTGTGCAGAAAACTAAGTTGGTGTTCTCATATCATTATAATTTTGAAGACATTTAAGTCGAATGAAATCCCGTAACATTTGAATCACATCACAAATCTGAAACTAAAGTTGATACCTCAAAAAGACAAAAGTTTAAAGGTAATGCAGGTTTGAGATATCACTTTGAAGTTTGAAGGCAGCCCATGAAATTTAGATGGAGGGTGTATCCAATATAAAGATGCTCGAGAGCCTACCAATTTGTCACTCCATCCAAGAATGAGGATGTGGTCCCTTTCAATGACTTCACTCTTCCCTTTCCGCAGTGAATCAACCTTCTCTGATATAGCATCAGAAACAAGCCCAAGCATCATTGCAAATATTAGCATGCCTCCTGAACTAATAGAGACAGAAACTATCCTTGGCCCGATGCCTTCTGTGTCAGCATGGTTTCCAGAATCAGCAACAAAAGTCCATGAGAGCCAAAGAGCTTCAGCGAAGCTGTTTGTATTGACTGCATATAATGCCAATCCACCAAACCCTATAAGAAACATCGTTGCAAAGAGAAGAGCAAGCAGTTTGGCATATGGATAGACGGAGAAACACACATCAACCATATATGCAATCCTCTTCTTTATGGGAACCTCCTCGTTGTTATTCTTGATCCGTTTTGAGAGACTCCTTAGTTGGGAAAGAGAATCAAGATGTTTGTACAATACAAATGGGATAGTAATCGAAAAGACCACAGTATACAAAGCAACAGTTCTCCTTTCAGCACTAAAATGAAACAGTGGTGGATTCTTCTCCACCAGAAAATCCTTAATGCTGCTATTTGAATCCATATTTTTAGGGTTACACCATTCCTGAAAAAGCAGCATAATCAACTATTAAGATGTGAAACAAAGAATCAAAGGTCTACTTAAAAGTTGTTGAAACCATGAAACATACCTCAAGTTCTGCAACTCTCTGCCGGAGATAAACTGCATAAGGTACAGATAATATACAAGTGAAAGTGAGCTGCAACAGAAGTTAATACAAAATTGTCAAAATCATAATTTCAACAATCCAAAAGGACACCACCAGGAGCTCTTGTTTAATAAAGATCTATTACAAAGGAGGCGCAAAATAATTGAACATAATTTTCTGTTCTTTTTTTTGTCTAATACAACAATATATTTACACAAAGGCGTGGAGGGATTTGAGCTAAGCCACACGATGGGACAGCCATAATAATTTTTGGTATCGAACTCCCCATCTATGGCAATCAAACCTAAGACCTCTCAACAAGTGAAGAGAAATACCACTAGACTATAGTACAAGTAAACATAACCTAATTTTCTGTTTTACATCTTGAACTTTAGAAGATTCGCTCATATTTGACGAAGTTAAACAACTTGAAAGTGTGACGTAGACATAGGGAAACTGCTTCTCCCCCTAGAAAAACCAAGTGTTTTTGCATTTTCAGTTATCTCAATAGAGAAACTGCTGCCTGAACAACAGTTGAAACGAAGCATACAACTGCAGCAAGCACACAGACAAATGTTCAAGAAATAAAAGATCAAGAATGTTTTATTTAAATTTTGATAGAAAATGTGACTAGACATAGGGAAAGGTTGCTTCTTTGTGACCGAAATGTCACGCGTTCAAGCCATGGAAAAGCCTCTTTGCAAAGCAAGGGTAAGGCTGTGTAGATAGCCGTTCCCTCGATTTTTGCAGGAGGCTTGTTGACTCGGGGCCGCCCTTTTTTTTTATAGAAAATTTTAAATGATTTTTAGATTTTAGTTTAAATTTCCAATAACAAAAAATCCCCAAATGAGTGGTGAAAACCTAAACAAGTAGTAAATTTCAATCTTTATTCTCATTATTTTTTCTTAATTCTATTCACCAGGGTGTCTAAATGGAACATTTACTAAAATCTAGGGGGCATAGGAAAATAGCTTTGACCTAGAATATTTGTTTGATCTTTATTTCCTAAAATCTAGGGGAGGAATCTATAAATTTGGAGAATAGTATCATACAATTAAGTAGTTGAGCTGAGAATTTACTGTCAGTTTTTGAGTAAAATGGTTTACCACAACTAGTAACAAAGGACGCTTGGACTCCGCAGTCCGCCTCGAACTCGGCCGAGTCGACTCACTAGCAGAAGAGGCAGAGGTTAGATTCGGCACCACCTTCAATTTCTTCCTCTCAGCCTCCGGCTTCGGGACCGAGGCCGCAGGAGGAGGCTGAGAGGCGATCCGTTGCGGCGCGTCCACCAGCTTATTAGCATGCGCGGCACGGGAATCAGTGGAGGAGGAGGAGGGGAGCTTCTTGCCGCGTTTGGAAGTGTTCTGAGGGACAACGAGGGAAGGGAAGACCCAATCGCGGTCGGAGAAGTCTCGGTGGTCGGCGGGCGCATTGAAGGAGGAGGAGGAGGAGAAGGAGGCGGGGCGATCGGGCGGCGGCCACTGGCGGGAGGTGGGAGGGAGGGTGGAGACGCGTCGGACGGCGGGGAAGAGTGGGCCCGGGAAGATTGGGGTCGTGGGCTCCGCGTCGTCGGATGCGGTGGTGGTGATGACGGTTCGTGATTTCTTGAGCTGCGGAGGGCTCTCCGACTTTTTCGGCTTCGACGACGGGTCATCATTGCCATCCACCATTTTTCTCCTTCGGTTTCAGAATTGCAGCGACGGAATTGTGCTGGTGATATGATGGACTGGTGATGTGATTAGCGACACCTCAACTTGGAATCGTCCGCGTCAGAATTTAATTTAACAATATTTTCAAAAATAATAAAATATTTAACTTTACTGAACCAGAAAAGTTTCTAAATCTAATTTAAAACCAGTTTACATGCCATCATACCAACTCTTATACGTTCGAACTCCGATGTTAAGTGAATTTAGACATAATAAGTACTAGAATAGGTGGCCTCTCGTATTGCATCCCAAAAAAAATCACCATAAAAAAAAAAAAATTAGTTTGGTTAAACTGTAACTTTTAACTTGATTTTATTCATCGGCATTTCAACAGTGTTTCAGGTACTTCCTCTTTAATGTTGAACCATGGTTATACGACAAGATAAGGAAATAGTGTCGAAATAAGCTTCGCGACAACATAGGCGACCAAAGTAGTTTCGGGGCAATCCTGATCACTACGTACGAAATTTATAGCCGCCTCAAAGCTAAAGTTGTAGTGTAATCAATAGAAAGGAGGTAACGTGTTTTATATGTATATGCTTACTTACATATATTACGAGATTTTTTGAGAATTCACTGGTTTTGGATTCTATTAGAACTTCGAAATTAAATGAGTTCAAGCGAAAGCAATTCTAGGATGGATGACCCATGGAAAGTTCTCGTCTCGAGATTGGGATGTGACATGTAGAATCGTGAGACATGAGGAAGAAAATGAATTGTCTTAATGAAGAAGTTGAATCGATATTATGTCTTATAGTTTTTTTTAATAATTTTGTTTGTTTTGTCTTTGTGATTTGGTGACACTCGAAATGGGGTTTTAAAATCGAGTTTAATGTTATGCGTAAAGCAACCTAATCAACTATTATTTGCAGCCCTTCTCTTTACTCTCGTTTTATTGTCAAACGATTCAAACCAGATTCATTTGTATTTTCTTCCTATAATTTTAAACTTTTTACTAGTTACCCTACTCTCTACCTCCCATTTAGTTGCATTATACGGTTCTTTTGATTCTCTCTATTAAATTTATCCCACGTGACTGGAGCAGCAACATCCTGTAGGCGCGAGTGTTTGGATGCACGTCCTTCAAATGATGAAGCTTTTCTTATTAAGACCAACTCCGATGGTTGGATTAAAACTTAAATTTTAATCCAGAAAATTAAAGTTTTATTGATTTATCTCAAAAACAGTTTTTCTGCTCCAATTATTCACTTTTCGGTAAAGAAATACCTTCGTAAGAGTTTATGCAGAAATGAACTTAGGTACAACTCCTGAAAACCCGCAAAGACGAGGTAACAACAGTGGCTTCGGAAAATGTCGACAAAGAAATGCTGGGGAGTTCCGGCAGCATTGAATTTTGGTACAGATTCAAAACCTACTCGTGTTGTAACGTTAGAGTCGAACGAATTCAGACGGTTACAGTACAAGGCCGCGAGGGGGCGGAACCAAAACTTATGGCGGGCATGACTCGGCTAAGGTACCATGAGATGTTAAAACGAGGATGAAGAGGAAAGAAATGACGAGTAGTATCATGAACTAGCTAGCACGGGTCATTTTTACTTTCGGCATTGCCTTCTTCATCTGTCGAGCACGCTCTTTTGCTTCTCTCTTGCGAATACTATCTGCACTGAGCTTAGCCTCGGCCTCCTCCATCATCTTTTTCCGCTCTGCCTTCTTTCTTTGCAATGCTTCTTGCCTAGCATTTTGGAGTTCTTTGTAAGCCTCTTGAGCCGCCTTTGATCTGATTGCTTCAGTTTTGGATCGAACCTGCAACAATCAGGAACGGAAAAAATAAGGCCAAATGGAAATTTTGTCGAAACTTGATTCCACAATATAACTGGAAGCTGACCCACCTGACTGCTTAGCTTGTAGCGCCCGATCAAATCAATATAATAAGGTACCAAGGCCACCAGACGAGTCATATCAGCCATGTTACCGGCATCTGGTAGGGCAAACTTGAACAACAGCATCTTCTTTCGCGAGCCTGGATGTTGATCTGAAAAATGCATGTAGATGAAACCCTTTCCAAATTTCTGAAAAGCCTTATCACCAAAAACCTGCAAATGCCAGACATATTAATGGGGAACTAAGCGTAAACAACTAATAAAGGGATGTACGGAATCAAGAAACAGGATGGATAATTCAGGCAGAATGGGACCTAAGAGGAATAATGCAAAAGGGCAGAAGCACAATGAAGTTGAATGTTCCGGTATGGTAACGTAAGGTTTTAAATATCCCAAGCAATTCGATCAAGTGATACATTGAACAGGAGAGCTTACGACAAAAAGGACCAAAGAAACATGCAAGACCCTTTATTAACTGGAACAAATTTGATGAAGAGCAAGACTTTGCTATGGCTACCATGATAGTGAAAACACAAGGGAAGTACCCAACATTAGAAATCAAATTTAGATTAAAAATAAGAACGAGGTTTTACAAAATCATCAGGTCACAATGAAACAAGCACCCAGTTTGTGCCCCATTACACTGAAAGGTTGGCTGATATTATTGAGTTCGGCCAACCTTTCATTTAACAATGTGTGAGAGTGATGCAAAAGTAATACAAATTTCTCAACCACCATAATCGATTCAGCAAAAAATAAAAAATCGACCTTTATTAACATTAATTGCGCTATCTAACCGTAAAAGATAAAACAATACCATCTATATATCTTCAGTGGTAGTTATGCACTCCCACATATAAAGTACAAAATTTAGTACTAACACCTTTGTGGTAAAAAATGTATGAACGAACAGGAAAGCGTGTCTTAAGCGGGGTTTAATCAGTATTGGTCAAACAGATAAAGCCCAAACAGATGAAGAAAAAAGATCGAAAACCCTTGGACAATTAAAAAATGCAATACCAAATTGATCATGTAATGTAATTCCACATTCACAGTACTAAATTACTGGTCCTTTCGCCTAACAAATTGAGACTTGGAACCTCTGTTTGGCCATCCTCATGGAATTCAAAACAACTGTTATGAATATCTACCACTAAATTCAAACACAAATTAAATTACACAATCAAATACATTGTATCTGATCACGAAAATTACGAAACACTAGAAAGAAAACTCATTTCAAGTGCAAACTAATACGTAAACACACAAATCAAATCCCATTTAAATGCAATCATAAAACAGATTAATCAACGAAAAGGAAACCGAATTTTGTACCAATACGAAAATGAACTGACCTGTTCGAGCACAGCCTCAGTGATCAAATCACCAGCCACTTCCTTCGATTCGGAGATAACCGCCAGGTCCTCAGAAACCCACTTCCTTCCGGTAGGCGGAGACACTATCCCGGCAAACTTCTGCAAGTCCCCAACCTCCTTCTGCATTGCCTTGGCCGACTTCTTCCTCGCCAAGGCGAAGACCACGTGGTCCATCGCATCATCGTTCATATAAACCTCGATACTGATCTCGTCCCTACTGGGGACCACCAAGTTGAAAATCGAGGAGATCAAATCGTGGCGGCTTTTGAGCTCCATCGTCGCCAGAAGCCCCTGGCAGCACCTCCGCCCACTCGCGTAGAACTTGAACACGTTCTGACCTTCCTTCAACAGCAAGGGCGAGTCGTCGCCGTCTCCGACGCCCATAAGACTGAAGTTCTTCTCGAAAATCGAGTCCTTGGTGGCGAATTTCGCCGCCCAGGCTAGGGCGATATTCTCGTTGACCCGCTTCCCGGTGAAGTAGTTGATGATGAAGACGATAAGGAACCCTCCGCACGCGATCTCCACAACAAAGGATCTCGGAGCTGCCGGGGGCTTGGGATCGGCGGCGGGTTTGGGATCGGAATCGGAGGAGGGAGTGGCATTTTCGGTAATTGCAGCGTCGTCGAGGGGCGGTGTCTGCTGCGGTTGGACGGGGAGGCCTTCGAACTCGTCTTCGTCCCAATAATCGAACCTGGTGGAGGAAGGTTTGGGAAGATCGGTGGACGGAGAATCCGAATCGGGAATCGGGTTGGGACCCGTGTCGGGTACGGAGGGTTCAGGGGAGCGAGGCGGGTCGGGTTGGGAGGTGGTGGTGAGGGAAGGGCGGGTGCGAGTGGGAAGAGGGAGTGAGGAGTCGTCGTCGTCGGCGTCATCGATTTCGTCGCCATCGTCGAATCCTTCGAATTGGGAGTCGGCGGCGAGGACGGAGGAGGGAGAGAAGGACAGGTGGGAGAAGAGGAACAGGAGGATGAAGAGGGAGAGGAGAGAGAGGAGGCGCGTGTAAGAGAGTGACGCCATGCTTGCTTCTCCTGATACAGCTTCTGTTGCAGAGAGCGTACAGGAATGAAGAAAAGAAGAAGGAAAGAAGCGTGTGCGTACTGAAAAAACCCCGCTTTCGCCGATATTATTGCTTTCGCGGATATTATCGATTTTTCGCGTTACTAATATTTTAATGGTTATCCAATTAGTTTTCGTTAAAATATTGTGATATTATCGATAATATCGTTCTCTCTTCCTCTCTGTCGTTGGAATGGCAGCCGAGCTCCGTCGTCGCAGCTGTTAAGATCTACGCCTCTCTCTACCAAGATCTGCGCCTCTCACAGTTGGTGATGGTGCTCACCGGAGTGTGCGCCACTGTGGTGGAGGTCATGGTGGGGTGGGTGTGGTGTGTCTCCCCTCCGCTCGCCCGCTCCCTGTCTCTTCTTTCTGTGATGGTGAACGAAGGACTTCTGCTGCTGTGCAATGCAGTAGATCGAACTAATTTGAGCTTCACACTAACACGGAGAGAGAGATCCGAGACTTACATAACCGGAAAATCAAAGAAGACTCGCCGGAGAGTTTATGGGCTCCGCCATTCTCGCAGAGGTGGGAGAGAGAAGATTGATGATGTGTGATGATGGTGGTATCCTCGAGCAGCTCGAGTCGAGCAGATGGTGCTGCTACGTGTGTGTGTGTGTGGTCACGGCAAGAAAGGGAGAGAGGTAAGAGGGTTTCGAGAGAGAGAGATAGTGCAGAGAAGAGAGAGAGAAGGAAATGGGGTCTCGGGGTAGGGGAGAGAGAGAGAGAAACGTGAGGAGTGTTGGGGGCTGCCATGTGGCAACCTGAGAGGGTTTCGAAATCCAGATATAGAGTTCAAATTTAATTAGGATAAAGGACTAATTTGATAGTTCCAAATATACTCATAATGTTTGCCAGCTCGTTATATAATCAACTTAAATCAGTTAAATCCATCATGCAATGCATTTCCTTCCAATTTTTTGTGATAAACTAATAGATAATTGACTAAATAAACATCCTGCAAAGTTTTAATAAAAATTTTCAAGTTTTTCTTACAATTTTCGTGGTTTCCATATTATTTTTATCGATATCGATAATATCCCGATATTTCCATCGATATTTCCGTGTTTTTGGACTACCAATATTTCCGATATCATCGATATTTAATACCTTGGTCATAACTCATACTTTTACCTGAAAATAAAAAATTAGATAGTAAAAAATGCCCTTGGCTTTTACATCTTGTATTAGGGTAGAAAAGACATTATGTATTTTTGAATATTTTCAATTCGACCCCGGAGTCGTTTTTCTTATCTGACTACTTGATAATAATCTCCAATGTGTCTTTTTGCAATTGAGGACAACATTCGGTTTAATTTCTTCTTCAGCTCCTGAGCTGAAACCGACATGTGAGCACCAGTGGTCTAGTGGTAGAATAGTACCCTGCCACGGTACAGACCCGGTTCGATTCCCGGCTGGTGCCTTGCAAGGTAGAACTTCAATGTATATATAATTGATCAAAATTCAAATAACTATACTCAACTTCACATAAATAGTTTGCGCGTAAAATCATATCTCATGTACACGTGAGTAACTGCCAACTGTAAATGTATGAGTCTTGTAATGAAAGCCAGTATCATTAGTTTATTAGGTTATATCTAGATGAATGAGTAATGTTAGGTAGATCAACTTTTTAGACCAAATTTGCAATTTATATGATGTGTCACCAATAGGAAATAAGTACGTTAATCAACACTTAAGGAATAATTCAGTTATAAAAAACGTCTTATAATTTATAAATATATTTTAAATATATGACCTTGCTAGCATTATCCGTAGATGAATATCAACGTCTTATAATCAGGACTCAAAATTCAAATAACTATACTCAACCTCACATAAATAGTTTGAGCGTAAAATCATATCTCATATGCACGTGAGTAACTATCAACTGTAAATGTATGAGTCTCGTAATGAAAACCAGTATCATTAGTTTATTAGGTTATATCTAGATGAATGAGTATAATGCTAGGTAGATCAACTTTTTAGACCAAATTTGCAATTTATGTGATGTTTCACCAGTAGAAAATAAGTACGTTAATCAACACTTAAGGAATACTTCAGTTATCAAAAACAACGTCTTATAATTTATAAATATATTTTAAATATATGACCTTGGTAGCATTATCCGTAGATGAATATCAACGTCTTATAATTAGGACTCAATCCGACGGTGGAGGATTTGATATTGAGTTGTTCCAATTTGGAGGTTTTGGAGCATTGACCAAAATTTGGACCAGGAGAAGAAGATAAAAGTTATGTTTAGGTTTTAATCTCAATTCTATATTCTTCTCACTCTCAGAGGAAACATATAAATACATACGCCGCACATCTTGCAGCACAAAGAAAGTAAATGAATACTAGACTAACTAGGAAACACAATCAAATAATTATATTTATATTCACATTCCTATTTGAATAGAGACTCAAGTCAACATTACAAAGTTGAGTTCCTTAATGACGCACTCAGTGATCTTAAAGATACACTGATGTAAGCAATGACCACATGAAGTTTAGTGCTTAAAACGCCTTTAAATTCGCTCTCCCTTCACCAAAATTCCAAGAGCGCAGAAAGATTGAAGAAGAAGAAGCAGAATGGCGGAGGAGCAGAAAGTTCAAATTCCAAGAGTGCAACTCGGAACTCAGGGACTCGAGGTGAAACGATTTCACATTTTTTACTCTAGCTTATCGTTTCTGCAATTCGGTTATGTTTTTTGTTTCCTTCCGAATAAAAAGTAGCACTATTTCACATTGATTTGTTGCAAAATGCAAATTGTGAATTCATTTGTTATGCAGGTTTCCAAGTTGGGATTTGGGTGTATGGGGCTTACCGGAATCTTCAATGATCCAGTCCCCGAAGAGCTTGGCATATCGATCATCAAGCACGCATACGATAAGGGAGTTACATTCTTCGATACAGCAGATCTTTATGGACCTCATATTAATGAAGTTTTGGTTGGAAAGGTAAACTTTGCTCCCAAATTAGTCTTTCCATAATTCCAGGTTTTGATTTGCCTTGTACGGCAAGCAATGGCTCCTTGCATAATCTGGATTGTTCGTATGCTTTTATTGTTGGTCATTTACGTTGCCTTCAATCGGTTTAACTTCAGGCATTGAAGCAGTTGCCACGAGACAAAGTTCAGTTGGCTACGAAGTTTGGTATCGTAAAATTTCAACCAAATCAGGTGTTTGTAAATGGCACTCCTGAATATGTCCGCTCCTGCTGTGAGGCTAGCCTGAAGCGCCTCGGCGTGGACTACATTGATCTTTACTATCAACACCGTATTGATACAACAGTCCCCATAGAGGACACTGTAAGTGTTACAAATTTTCCCCCCACTTTTGAAGTTTAATGTGAAGCATCTTTTCCATTTTTTTGTTTCTCGCTTGCTTACTATTTTTGTAAGGGCAGATGGAGGAGCTAAAGAAGTTGGTTGAAGAGGGAAAAATAAAGTACATTGGATTATCGGAAGCTAGCCCGGACACAATAAGGAGGGCTCATGCAGTTCATCCCATCACAGCTATACAAATGGAGTGGTCGCTTTGGACTCGCGATATTGAGGAAGAAATTGTCCCGCTTTGCAGGTAATTAACTACGTTTTGTCTGGTTGATTGTTAGCGTATCATAGTCCATTGATAGCAAGATCCATAAAAAAAAAACGTCTTCCCAACAAATACTGCTTTTTCAATTAGTTAACCTTTGCTCTTTTATGTCTTGTATGAGTTAATAATGATCAATATGATAAAATTTTGTCTTGTTTGTTGGAACCACAGGGAACTTGGAATCGGGATAGTGCCATACAGCCCGCTTGGTCAGGGATTTTTCGGTGGCAGGGGAGCTGTCGAAGGTCTGCCTACAAGTGGTTTTCTGGTAAGGGAGTTGTGATTTGATAATTTATGAGGCTAAACATGGTTATTTGATGGCTAATCAATTTGTGATCAGGCGTCAGGTTACTATCCTCGTTTAACAGGAGACAACTTAGAGAAAAACAAGGTCATTTTTGGCAACGTACAAAAGTTATCCGAAAAGCACAGATGCAGCCCTGCACAAGTTGCCCTAGCTTGGATTCTTAGCCAAGGTGATGGTGTGGTACCAATCCCTGGTACGTTCGTATTAACTTACTAACTGGATGGACCATTTTCAATCAACTTAAAAACTAAGCATGCTTACATCTCATTGTATTCTTTTAGGGACGACAAAGATTAAAAATCTCGATAGTAATATCGGATCACTGAGATTGACACTCACTGAAGATGATGTGAAAGAGATTTCTGATGCGGTACCTGTCAACGCGGCGGCAGGGGAAAGAACTAGTGACAGTTTCATTAGCTGCTCATGGAAGTTTGCAAATACACCTGCAAAAATACCAACTTGAATGTTTGTTTATGCATTCGATTCAAATAAATTTTGTATGTGTGTATTAATAAGATTCTGATGTGTTGACTTCAATGCCAATGTGTCTGTTTCATTCCTTGTATTCACGGTACCTATAATAGTAATTCAGCACAAAACTTCTGTGCTTTGTTAAATAACGGATTTTGTATCGATAATAAAATAATGCATTCTACTATTGACATGTTATATACTAACCTTGTTGATATATATAATATACTATATCGACAACTTGTTAATGGGCTGAATCTTTAACGAAGGAAGGACGTCCGATCTCTAAAGAAAACTCGTACCTATAGTACCTAAGGCAAAAGCTCTAATGCTCTATCCATGGCCTCCCAACTCCACTTGGAGGCTTGAAATTGGAAACGTCCATGTAATTACATGCTATAACTATTCACACACCTATTTTTATCTCTTACACACTTTTGTTAATTTTTTGTCATTGATCTTCTTCTTCTATTCATTCAATTTGATAGTCGAAAACAAAGAATATATGGTGTGTGAAAAGTAAAAATTGGTGTGTTAAAAGTACTACCCTAAATTTACACATACAATCACAACTATCGAGTTTAATCGCTAACCCAAGTCGAAAAGTACAAAAAAAAAAAAAAACCACTCAAAGAAAGTGCATAAGATAACTTAAAATGTTTAATTCATTACTCAAACGTAAATATCAAAAATAAAATATATCTAGTTTTAGTTAGAAAATACACTGCATGAATTTATATAATCACGGGAAACAACGATAAAACAGATCCAAAAGAAACATGGGCGCCTATTCCTTCATGCCAAGGTTTTGTATTTTATGGTTCAACATGGTCGTAACCATAGTACAAAATATCAAAAATGAAACCCAAAAATACTTGAAAAATCTCAACTTGCGCATAGAGGGATTCGAACTCTTCCCATTTGACTCCTTCAACTCCTTGACCACCATACCACTTATGTTTTTGTGAAAATATGCTAAACTATTTGTATATATGGTTTTGTTTTGAATTCTTTTTGCAAGAAACAAATGTGCACATATTCCAAATTTTTTGTGGTATTATATTTTAAATTGTGTCAATTAATTACTTAGTCAATGGCATGTGGTATTTAATTTTCTATTTTTTATTTGGTTACTTACATATAGGGCTGGAAAAAATTCCTGAAAATCCCAACCCAAACCGAAAAAGTCCCAAACCCAAACCGAAAAATCCCAACCAAAACCATCCTGAATTCGGGAATCCCATCCCGAAAAATACCGAAATTTTCGATATGGGATTGGTTTCCAAATCCCATTTGTTTGGTAATCCAGAAAAATACCGAAGTATTCGGTTTCCTATTGACTTTTGGGTTTCGGTTCTTGAAAGCCATTGTCATGGTTGCTGACTACTCTTCACAATACACTTACTCTACACATAGAGATGATGAAGATAGTGAAAATTTTGAACCTCATAGGAACTCTATGTAGTACTAAGTCACTCATGTATCTTACCATGCATGTATCTATGTGGTACTAAGTCACCCATATATCTTACCATGCAATATTTAAATGATTATGGTGTGTTTAATCTTTTTTTCATTAATTACTATATATTTTCTACACTCACAGTGTTTGCCAGCTCACTGTATAATCAATTTAAATCAGTTAAATCCATCATGTAATGCATTTCTTTCTAATTTTTTTTTGATAAACTAATAGATAATTGACTAAATAAACATTTTCCAAAGTTTCAATAAAAATTTCCAAGTTTTTCTTACAATTTCCGTGGTTTTTATTCAATTTTATCGATATCGATAATATCCCGATATTTCCATCGATATTTCCGTGTTTTTGGACTACCGATATTTCCGATATTATCGATATTTTATACCTTGCACGCAACTAATCAGTGAATGAGGGAGTTGGATACAACGTTGTGGCCAATTGGGTAATTTTCATTTTTTTTTAATAAAAGAATGAGTTCGCCACAATATTCTATTTTTTTGGAGATCGATAAACATTTCAATCTATTTTTTACCACCATTTGCGATTCACTAGCACTATAAAAACATCTCTAAAGGAGATGTCAAAATGTCCATATAAGCTATAACAGTAAAAAAAAGATCACATTAATGTTCTCCAACAGAAATATCAAATCATATGTGGCGATGACATGAATTGGCAGCAAGAGAATTGCTGTCAAATTTGAAAATAAATGGTTTAATCGAGGTAAGTGTACGGTGACCTTTTGTTCGATCATCATTGCAATTAATGTTGTTGTTGACCCGTTTCCCTTTTGTTCAATCGAGGTAAGTGAACGGTGCCTCTTGTTAAAAAGAAATGATGAACGGTCTGAATTTCATAATTATTAAATGTCTTTTATTGAGTTTTTATTAATTTAATCATTTATTTTATAATATAATAAAATAATAATTTAATTTGATATATCGGGTTGACAATAAAATTTAAAATATGTCAAAATACCACATAGGTTGTCAAATTTAAATTTTATGTTTAAAATTTGACATCTCCTTTGGAGATACTCTAAATCGAACTCAATACGTGACGTGTGAAATATGGTCTGTCCCAACCACTGAGTCACCATGTGATGGTTGTGACCAGATGAGTAATTGTTATTTTCTTTTTATTTTGTTCTCTCTTTTTTTATTTATTTATTATTAACCAGAAACACATTACTCTTCTAATCCACCAGCGTTACCAATTGTAAACCCAAATAAAAATTGAAGTTGGAAAATTATTTAATCAAATGCATAATCATGATTTCAGTTATTACCTAAAGAATTGTCTATTTATCATCGTATTAGCTCTTTGGTAAATATGGTTCATGGTATGATTATTATGTTAGCAAGTATGACTATTTTAAATTCTGATTAGGAAACTTGAAGCAGCATTACACACTAATTAGGTTATTTATGATGAAGCCATACGGATTAACGATGACGGTGGGGATTTTTTTTTTACTTTTTGTATCTAAAAATTTCCGTCTTAGGCGCTATGACCGTCATCATTCTAATTAATCTCTAGCGTTAGAAAGAGCGCTCAAATCTATATAGGCGCCCGTTTGCCCCACCTAGGCCAACTTAGGCACCTACTTAGGTTGCAACTCTCATTTAGACAAAAAATAGATAATTTTTATTTTGCATTTTATTTTTCAATAAATTGTAAAAAATACTTAGATGAACACATTATATGTTTGTTTTCCATGTTTTCAATATATTCTAATACTTTACCATTTATTTGTCATTTTATTTTACAATTTATATATCACAATACAATCATGTTTTTTTTAAGTATAAGGAGACTTATATCTTGGGAAATTCTTGACCCTATAAATTATAAAGCCTACGTGGTGCACATGTCGAGTAATTATGAGCTAACTACGTTCTTCTGTGAATGCGGGCGTGCCAACTCGCAACTAAGTTCAATCGGGCGAGTAAAATAGATGTACTGGTGGTGTCGAATGCACTGCTAACGTTTGCACTTGAGCAATTATGGTCGAGAAAGGAGCACATCTTGCTTTAAGTTTTAGAACCTGAAGACAAGGTTACTAGATCAATACAAATTTCAATAAGTAGTTAAGGTGTCCTCATGCACCCTATTTTGTCTCAACCTTGAAACAGACTCTCACTCTGTCAAATTTTGAAGTGCAAGCAAAGAAAGCCCATGCCAACCAAACCCTACCCAATCATCATGAAATATATCTTCATGTCCTCGATTCCTACACACCATTTTCCATCAGGACATATCTATGGAATCGGAAACCCAGCACTCCCCGCAGCTTCCTCAAGAAAACCCAGCGGGAGGAGCAGCTGCCCCAACCCCACTCCATGTTAACGATCACCACGCCATTGTCGACACTTCCCGACAATTCAACTCCGTCAAAGAAGCCGTCGCCATCCTCGGCGAGCGGCTTCTTCTCAGAGAAATGTTTTCATCCCCTAAACCGCCATGCACCAATAATATTGTCCAAAGCAGACCTACTACTCCTCCGTCACGGAACTTGTCGCCGCCGAATTATGAAGAAAGCGAAGAAGTAAAAAATAGTAGTGATGGTGATCGCGAGGAGAAAGTAGCAGTTATGGACACTCTAAAGAAGCTTGAGGCGGAGCTGGAGGAAACGAAGGTGGAGCTGAAGATGCTGAAGGAGAGAGAGTCGGAAACCGAGGTCGCGTTGGCGTCGCTGAACGCGGAGCTTCACAAGAACATGTCCAAGTTGGCTCGAGCAGAGGCAGCTGCGGCGGCAAAGGCGAGCAACGTGCTGCAAGTGGCTACAACTACAAGATCATCACCAAATCTGAGAGAGAATGTTGAAGAGAGGAACAAGAGGGAGTGGATGATAAGGATGGAGGACTCTACGTCTTTGGCTCAAATATTGAACATTGGAACTACTAAGAAACAAGGAGGAGCCTGCTACGACCCTGTCGGAGCCGGCTACGACCACCTCGGAGAGAAAAGAGAGAAGAAACCAATGAAGAAGAAGCCTATTGTCCCTCTGGTGCAGGATTTACTTTGCTGGAGAAAAGGGTCGTCCACTGCTTTTCGCAACCCTCTTTATTCGTCTCCGCAATTGTACTACTAAATCTTGATTTAAATCGTGTTTAGTTTCTTCGATATATCATCAATCCAAAAGGGGAAGAAAAATACTTGCATGGGAAATATATGTGATATCATGTACTTTGTTGTATTGAAATTGCAAATGTTTGTTTGATATTGTTTTCAAATTTATATGTGATCTAACTAAGCAGTATTTGTTAATTCTGTTCTCGTTTCTAAGTTTGATTTTCGCCAAATGCGAATTTGAAACACATTATTGCTAGTTCATTGTGAAGTTAAGCCTACCATCTTTCCCTTAATGTAGTAATATCGTTTGTTAAAAAAAAAAAGGTTAAACGTTCACATTTGAAACAGAGCTTTGATACATTGGAGGCCAATGCACGTTTGGATGTGCTTTTAAAATGATTGAAAACTTTTTTAAAGAAAATATTTTTAGGTTTCAAAAGCACTTAAAGTGCTTTCTACAAGAAGCACCAGTTATGTGCTTCTTTCAGGAAGCACTGTTTTTCTGTGATTTATTTGCATCTTTATTAATGATTGGTTCTAAAAACATTTTCACCAAAAGCGCTTTCAGTTATTTAAAAATCACATCCAAACAAGCTCCAAATCCATTTGAAAAAAAGGTTAATTTGTTTGAAATCCAAGGATTTAGAGATTTAAGCTGTTGAAGAAAGGGAAAGAGAGATCCGGGCTCTTGGTTTGTGTAAGGTAAACCAGCGAAATGTACTAGACATCGCAAAAATTAAAATAAGTGATATGAACCCTTGGTTTGTGTTAGGCATCACTGTGGCTCTAAGAGCATTTTTAAAGGAGATGTCAAAAAGTTCACATCAGCAATAACAGTAATAAAAGACATCACTAGTGTTTTCTAACCCAAATGTCAATTCCTATGTGGCATGACATGAAAAGTCTGCAAAGGAAGTTGCTGTCAAATTTGACAGCAGCTTCAAATCTATTTTTAGTAATTAATAAATACTTTTTATAATTTTAATAGTTATCTTTTGTTTTAAAATACTAATTACAACTTTAAAAAGTAAATAATGTAATAAATAATAATTTAAATTTGACATATCGGTTGAAGAACAAAATTTATTAAAAGATCAATGCGCCACATAAGCCTTCAAATTTAAATTTTATATTTAAAATTTGACATCTCATTTGGAAATGGTCTAAGTGGAATTAATTTCTTTTAATTTTTTATCGTCCACATGGGACCACATTGACACGTAGTGCCTAGTTATTGTTTACATGTGTGCTACGTCACGCGTTAACAGAGATTCGGAAAGTCTAACACCCTTATAAAAGTGTCCTACTTTTTTCGCTTTAGATATAAAACTCATATAAAAAAAAAGAAATTGTTATTAACATTTCAAAAATCTCATTCTATACTAAAAAATTTCTATATTTGAAAAGAAAAATACACTTATAAGGAATGTAAAATAAATTTTTTAAAATGCCAATAACACTTTCCAAAAAAATTAACGTATAAAAATTTGAAAAGCACGATAATTCATGCGGTTAAGTGAGAATTACCTTTAAAATCATACGTGGCCAACAACCAAAAAAAAAAGAAAAAAAAAGAACACGTCTGTCACGTGGCAGCATACCATGAAACTTACCAAAACATAAGGTTCGAATCCAATTAAAAACCCGAAAAGTGTTTTTGAGCAGTTAATTTTGGACCCGGCTAACCTCTCACTTCTTGTGCAATCTCACAATCTTTTATTTTGTACGATTATGGTTAAGCACGTTAACATTTTATATTGAATTTTTTTTAAAGGTAATAAGATAAAAAATAATATTAATATAAAATATTGATGTATCTTAATCATAATCGCACAAATAAAAAGAGAAGAAAATGCATGGGAAGTGGGGGAGAGAAGTCAGGTCCGTCAATTTTTCGGGAGACAGATGGCAGTAGGCTGGTAGCACTTGTTATCTTTCTCATCACCGTTGATTAAATTACTCGTGATTTTCCTACGGATGGGATCGAAACAAATATCCTAGTTTCCCATTTTACCCCTGAGACGGAAACAAAACAAAAGGAACCTCACCGGCGGTACTTGGAGCTTCTTCTTCTGCGACGTACCTGTTTGGTTCCTGAGAAAATCCAAAAAGAAAGGAAAAGAAAAGAAGAACAGAGAAGAAATCACAGCCGTACCTTTTATTCGAGATGAAAGCGGTGCTTCTCAATTCGCCGCCGTACTGCAGACTCCAACAACGACTTTCCACGGTTTTCCTCGATTTCCCTTCACTTCCAGAAACAAATCAATTCAATTGCTTCTTCTATTTTTTTCTTTTAATTTCTGACTTTTCACTTTTAATTTTCCTGCAGAGTTGTAGTTTATTGTTTGGAGGTTCAGGCTTCTGTGTATCTTCCAGTAGGGGGCGTAATCTGGTGCGGCCTAGCTCACGGGTTCGGTTACCTTCACCTTCACGCAGCCTAGGTCAGTTTCTTTTTTATATCGAAAAATATCATTTTTATGCATTATATATATATATATATATATATATATATATATATATATATAAAGGGAGCTTAAGGGGGAGGGATCCCATTTTTTCAAAAAAAATAGGGACACGCTCCCCACCGTTAGATTGACTTTAATGAAATTGTGTGGTTGAGATTAAAACACAGGCCATAGAATCTCAACCACAGGATTTCATTTAATTCAAATCCAACGGTGGGGAGCGTGTCCCCATTTTTTTGAAAAAATGGGATCCCTCCCCTTAAGCAATTCCTATATATATATATATATATATATATATATATATATCTGTATATGTGTTTATAATCAATCAATCAATGTTTGGTTGATTTGTTATACTAATATTAGGGCTTCTGCTTTTAAAATCACTACTTTTAGAACCTGTAATAAAAATGCAAATGAATTCTGGAAAATACTTAGTGCTTCTTGGAAAAAACGTATAAATGGTGTTTCTTGCATAAAGCACTTCAAGTGCTTTTGGAACCTAAAAAATAATTTCACCAAAATGCTTGCAGTCAGTTTTTAAAGCACTTCCGAACGAGCCTTTAATTATTTCTTTTTCAGCCTTTCTCGGCTGTTCTATTAGGCTTTGTTGTTGTTGTTGTTTGATTGAACTCAAATAACTACGCACGTCGGACTGAATCAACTGTAGAATTCAACCTTGATATACTACGCACTTTTTGATCAAAATATTATGATTTTGTAATTCTATGTACCTTGTGCAACTTGCAACATGAACTTTGTTGTTAATGGTTGCCATGCTTTTCTTGTTAGGTTGAAGGTAATGACTGTGATGAATCTGATGATTAGTTAGTACGATAACCCAAAGATGGAGTTGTTTGTTAGAAATTTTAGGGTATGGAACCCTTGTGAAGTCTTACGAGTAAGAAGACATCATGGGACGTCCACAGTTGCTCTTTAATTTGCAACGTCGACAACTTATTCTTCCGGATTAAAAAAATAGTCAAATCCAATATGTATGTTAAATAAGACATGAACTCCACCTATGCCAGATTCACTGTTTCTTAATTTCCTAGTTGGATGTTTGATGGTCATCTATATTTTATTGTTGTACAGTTGTTAAGGCGGTTGCTACTCCGAATTCAGCGGTCGAATTGCCACTGACTGCAGAGAATGTTGAAAGTGTATTGGATGAAATCCGGCCATATCTCATTTCTGACGGAGGAAATGTGTCGTTACATGAGATTGATGGAAATGTAGTGCGGTTGAAGCTAGAGGGAGCATGTGGCTCCTGTCCAAGCTCTGTTGTGACAATGAAAATGGGTATTGAGCGTCGTTTAATGGAAAAGATCCCTGAAATAGTTGCAGTGGAAGCAATAGCTGACGAAGAAACAGGGCTTGAGCTGAATGAAGAAAATATAGAGAAGGTAATATTTCTTTTGAAGTCGTAATCACACCCATTTAGTAATAAAATTGGATATACTTTTTCATGTTTTCTGCTTCACGCATAAAGTAGAAGGGCTTTCCATTAGATGGACCATGTAGGTAGTTTGCACTACTCCGACTTAGGGGTTTAGGTTTAAGAAAAAAGTATTTCTGAGTTTATTTGAATTTGACATAGAAAATTGAACCAGTACAATATATAAGAAAATTGTTTAGCGGTGTTTGTTTCATTTGTCTCATAATTTCTGGGGATTCTGAAATCCTTTTCCGTTTATCACTATCTATCAATAAACAAACCTTGCATTGTTTGCTTAGTTGATTTATTACACTGCTGGGGGAGCTCATCTTTGCCAATAACTTTGATTTGTAGTCTTTCCCAAGGTCCATTGTATATTTGATGGAGGCTACTACAAATTTCACGTTGAGACTGAGTTCCAAGTATAATACCGACCCAAGTTACCGAAAAGTTGAGGAAGTTTGGTTCTTGATTTAAGGTTTCCATCTTATGTATTTATATGTACAATTTTGTATCAGGTACTTGAAGAAATTAGACCCTACTTAGTAGGGGCAGCAGGTGGATCTCTTGAACTTGTGACAATCGAGGATCCTATAGTGAAGGTGCGTATCACAGGTCCAGCTGCTGGGGTAATGACTGTCAGGGTGGCGGTCACGCAGAAGTTGAGGGAGAAAATCCCGTCCATTGCAGCAGTTCAACTACTGTGACATTTTTGAGCCGAAGCAAAGAGGTACGCCAGATGATATTGCCTGCATTTTTCTTCCAAAAAGTCGCATCTTGTGCAATAGAGATGATATATTGTGCAAATCTTTACAAATAGGATAACCATGCACGGTTAATTACTGTGATGCAATAGTGGAGCAATACCTGAATTAGATGTAATCGTTGAGAGCTCCTTGTGTTCTTTCCGTGTTCGTTGAGATGTTTCCGGGGGCCGCTGTCGAACTCCCGATATTCGTATTGATTCATGGCTGTATAGTTCCAGTTACTTGTTTTCTGATAATGAATTCAACCAGCTCTAGTATTAGTCACGGGCTGGTTTTCGGGTGTCAAATGGAAAATGTTGGTCTGCAGATTTCCATTTAATTTGGAATATAACCTCGAAATGAGCTTCAA